TTTGGTCTCACGAAAGAACTCAGAAACCAGTTGCCTGAGTTCAAATTCTGCCTTTGCCATTTACTAGCGATTTGACCTCAATAAATCGTATAACGTCCCCCTGCCTCTATTTGCTTATCTGTAAAATGGGGATAATAATAGTTAACCTACTTCACAGGGTTACTGTGAGGATTAGGAGTTAATCTATGTTTAAAAACAAACAAGTTGGAGTTGGGGTTGGTTAGTAAACTATTTAGTTAAAGACTAAAAAATTTAGCCTTTGTGTGCTAAGGATCAAAATTCAAGATGGTACTGAATGCAGTGACTCATGTCTGTAATCCCAGCAGTCTGGGAGGCTGAGACAGGCGGTAGCTTGAGCCCAGGAGTTTGAGACCAGCCAGGGCAACATGTCAAAACCCCATCTCTACAAAAACTTTAAAATTTGTCAGGTGTGGTTTTACGTGCCTGCAGTCCCAGCTACTTGGGAAGCTGAGGTGGGAGGATCACTTAACCCCAACAGGTCAAGGCTGTAGTGAGCCATGCTGGCATCACTGTACTCCAGCCTGGGTGACAAGACCCTATCTAAAAATGATAAATACAAAATACAAAAAATAAAAACTAAAAAAAAATTAAGATAATTGGGAAGTACTTATATAACTATTTAACAATGCAAACAACATCTCAGCCAGGCTCGATGGCTCACACCTGTAATCCTAGCACTTTGGGAGGCTGAGGAGGGTGGATCACCGGAACTCAGGAGTTTAAAACCAGCATGGACAACATGACAAAATCCCATCTTTACAAAAAATCCAAAAATTAGCCCAGCCAGGTGTCATGTGCCTGTAGTCCCAGCTACTTGGGAGGGTGAGATGGGAGGTTGGCTTGAGCCCAGAAGGCAGAGGTTGCAGTGAGCTGAGATTGTGATTGTGGCACTACAGTCCAGCCCAGGTGATACAGCCAGACCCTGTTTCAAAATTTAAAAATGTCTCAGCCTATGGACCACACAAAAACAGAATTTGGCCAGTGCAGTTTGCTGACCCCTTGCTGAGAGCAGCCACCTGGCACACAAGAAGTGCTTGATAAATGGTAGTTTCTATTATCCAAATCAGGACTCTTTCGATTGCTCTGAACTACTTATGCTCCATGCAGCATAAATAACAGGAAACAAGGTGCTAGCTGACCAACTTAGCCAACCTGTTTGTCTAAAAATAAACCAGACTTACCAGGATGTATAGCGTCTCCCTGCACCTCCCTGTGTCAGAGCCTTCCTATTTGTGTCCTGCTCCAGTAGGTAAAGCAGCCAATGCTCTAATTATTCTCAGGGAACCCTCAAGTCAGGTGCCCCATCAAGGCAGGTGGGAGTAGCTGGAATGGTTTCTGGGCAGAGGTAGAGACTGGAGAGGGAGAAAGAGGGGCACATCCCACAGCTCTGAGGTGTCCCAGATTCTGGAGCACTCTATCTTCCAACTGTGGCATCCTGGACACGTCTTGCCTCTTGTACCTGCAGAAGGCCAGTTCTGTCCATCAGCCACCTCCTTCCCACACCTGCCCTACATTAGAGAAGCCCTTCCCAGGGCAGCTCCAGACATAAATTCAACCATGGTTCTTGGTTGGAGGGGACCCCATCATCTACTCCCAATCACCCCATTTTAACAATAGGAAAAGTAAGGACTGTGTTATAGAAGTGACTTGCCTGAAGTCACACAGCAGTCATAGTCATGCTGGGATTAAAAACCCAGGTTCCTGCCTCCCAAGCCAGTACTTTTTTCCTGCCTGAGTTCCTGCAGGTTTCTCTTTGGCACACAATGGAAATAGCAGAGGAGTTTTCTGGTGCAGTTTTTTTATGCTTATCAGAGTGAAGCTGGATTTGACCTAGATACAGCCCTTTTCACAGTGTATTCACTTGTTTATCAACATTCCTTGAGCTCCTTCTACATGCCAGGCTGTGCGCTGAGCACAAAAGATGAAAAGAGAGCCAATGTCTTCTTTCAAGGGCTCAGTTTACAACCAGGTGTGATTATTGTTTCTCATTGGTTGGTTTGCGTATTTGTTTGTTCATTCAACAAACATTACTGATCATATACTTTGCGTCAGGCATGGCACTAGATGCTGGGAATAAGCATTAGTAAAATCTCTGCCTTTGTGAAAATTATGATCTAGTGAGAGAGATCCACAATAAACTAAATAAACACAGAATAGTGTGCAGGTAGGTGTTTGAAAACAAGTTCTCCAGGAAAAAAAGAAAGTACCCTAATTTGTAGCCTTTGGTGATTTTCAAGTAGCTGATAAATGGTCAAGTCAGGATTTGAACTCCAGCAACTGGTTTCTGGGTTCCTTTTTAACACCAAATGGCCTAATGTTTTCATTAACTGGCTGTGTAACCTTGAACAAGTCATTTCACTGTCCCTGTTAAGTGAGATGAAGGTGATGAGTTCCATAAGAGATTGTAAATTGAGGGCAGGAGGGCCCTTAGTGTCCTCTCCTTGTGGCCAATTTCAAGCTACCAACATGGTGTCACCGAGTGCCAGTTTGGGAGTGATTCACACAGTTGGCTCTTGCAGCCCAGTATTGCATGGACTGTAGACAGATGACAATGGCTCTGAAGGAAAAGAAGCAGGTTACAGGGCAGGAGAGTGAGGGAGGCTGTGCTATTTTAGATTGGCTACAGGCAGGACTTTGAGAGGCAAGATTTGAACAGAGACCTAAATAAAGTAAGGAAGCCAGCTATTTAGTGAATATTTAGGAAATGAGCATCCCAGGCAGAGGGAACAACAGATGCCTTGAGTCACGACTGTGCTTCGCCCTTTGAGGGATGGTGAAAAGACCAGTCTGCAGTGAGCCCAGGATTTAGGAGAGCACGCAAAGGGGGAACTTGAATCCAGTCGGTATGTGCAGCAGTAGTGAGGGCAAGAGCTGCTACCTGGACAAGGGGATGATAGGATGATATTCGCAAGGAATCTTAAAACATGAGGACAGGTTTAACCAGAAGGGTTGGAGTTTGGGCAGAAGTGGAAAGATGAGAGAGCTCTGAAAAGAAAGAATGGTGTGAGCAAAGGCACCAAAGGGTGGAATAGAGTAATATGGCTGGGGGTTGGGAGCATGTGGTCAGTCAAGCCTGCACAGGGAAGTGAGAGCCGCATTGTGAAGCCAGTGACAGCTTTTCACCTGGGAGAGACATATAAGAAGGCATTTGTGGAGGATAAATTTGACAGGGGGACACAAAAGGCAAAGAGACTACACTACAGGCTACTGGTGCAGGATAGAAAGGATGGATGAGTGCCTGATTTAGGGAAAAGAGAAAGGGATGAATGTGGAACAATACACCCATGTCTCTGTAATGATATCCACTAAGGGCTTTCATGCATGCCATTGCTCCTCATCTTCACTACAGCCCCGTGAGGTACATGGGATATGCAGTGTGATGGGTTCAAGATGGTAGCAAATCTTTGACTCCTCCCCTCACTTCCTGTTGAATCTGGACTGGCCCCATGTCTCACTGATAGCCAACAGAATGTAGCAGAAGTGATACAAAGGGACTTCCAAGGCTAGGTCAGAGGTAACCATTTTGGCTGCTTTGTGAGAAGTCTGACTTCTCTAAGAAGTCCCAGCTAGAGAGGACACATGGCAAGAAAGGTGTCCAACCAGCCTCCAGACTTTAAGCCTTCCCAGCCCAGGTGATTTAAAAAGCCACCTTGGACATCAAGCCCAGTCTAGCCTTTGGACAAGTCCAGCCCCAGGGCCATCTGACTGCAGCTACACTAGACCCCAAGCAAGAACCCTCCAGGTGAGCCCAGTCAACACGAACCCTGAGAGGTAATAATTGTTATAAGCCATTAAGGTTTAGGGTGGTTTGTGATTCCACAATAGATAATCAGAAGACACCTGATATTATCCCCATTTTAGTTGGGGACCTGAGGCTCAAGGAGATCATGAGGGCTTGTCAAAAGTCACATGACTAATGAATGATAGAGCCAGAGCTAAAATCCAGGTGTGCTGACCTTTAGAATTGCTGTTTGAACTCTTTTCTGCTCTATCATTACCATCCTCTCCCAAGCCCTGGGCCCAGAAAAGTTGGGGAGGGAAGGAGCCAGCCATCTGAGTCTTTTTGCCAGCCCAAAGGAAGGGTTCACTCTTGCCGTGTATAGTAGCCCAGTTCTCAGGGTGGGTAAGAGAAGTGTGTCCCTTCCAGCATCCTGATGCCCAAGGGGTACTCCCTTCTGGCATATCCCCAGGTTCCTCTCTCTATTTAAGCCCTCTGCCAACCGGCTGTCCCCTTGGGAATGAAGAAACTCACATTTACTGAGCATCATCTGACTAAGCATTTTTATGCAATGTTAGCTCATATAATCCATACATCATGAATACCAAGTAGGTATGACACAATTGATGGGAAACTGAGGCTCAGAGGGGAAGAGCTTTGCCCAGACTCACACAGAAAATGAGTTTCAGAGCCTGGATTCCAAGCCCGATTTGTCTATTCTACCATCTGCATTCCTTCCACTGGAAGATGGGGCTAATGTTACACAGGCTTGTCTTGGGGTTTGGGGAAAGTAACTCCCAAAGACATGCCAGCACAGCATCTGATATGACACAGGTTGTCAGTGCATGCCACATTCCCTTTCCCTTCCCTCTCTCTATTTCTGCTCCATCCAGAAGAAATTCACAACCTGCCAAAAGGCGAGAGAAGTCCTTGAGTAGAAAAATAAGACTCAACGGTTATTGAACTCTCTGTGGAGTAAGCTCACGAATTATCTTATTTTCACAAATACACTATGAATGTAGGTGCTGTTATAGCTCCACTTTACATCTGATGAGGTCAAGCCTTAGAAAGATAGGAAACTCGCCCATGATCATATAGCAAGTAGGAGATGGACTCAAGATTGAAGCCCTGGTGTTGTTGTCTCGTTCATGCTCTTAAATAGCAAAGCCTGCCTCAGCCCCTGAACCGGGAGCTCTCATACCAGCTGCATGCCTGGCAGCCTGCCTGATGGAGCAGGACTGGGCAGGCTGATTAATGAAGGGACCGACCTGGGGAAGGAATGAGGTCACATTCCATGAGACAGAGTCAAGGCAGTTCACGCATCACTTCAAATACTCACTCTCTTGGAAAAATACCGGCAGGGTTAGATATTCATGCCAAATAAGAAAACTGGATATACAAAATGGATATTAAGACTGAGCACAGTATCCAGCCTTCCAGGACCATAGGCCTAAAGGGGACCAATGGCTCAGCCATGGGTCGTAGCCCTCCAAAGACTCGTTCATGTCCTGCCCCCGTCCTGTACTTATCCCCAGTCTCCAGAAGATCAGCTGGCAAGTGGGAGGAGTTGCAGTATGCCAGGCCTTCCCTCTGGCTTCCACCCCTCTTTGTATGTGACTTAAACACATAATACGTTGTTATGAATGACTTTTAATTCATTGACTTTTCAAGATATTTTGGGGGCACCTACTTCAGTCAGGCACTGTGCTAGGAGTAGTGAATATGATACATTAGTTACTACCTTGCCCCTACAATCCAAATATGAAACTGGAGATGAACATTTTGATAGGTAAGTATAGGGTTCTATAGGAACTAACATTATTCCTTTCTTCTTTCCCTCTCCTCATTCCTTCCTTTTTCTATTCTTTCCTTCCTTCCATAAATACTTATTAAGAACCTACTATGTGCTGGTATTAGTCAAGGTGCTAGAGGGGAAAGTAGTGAACAACAGAGATGCCTGCCACCTTGGAGTTCACATCCTGGTGATGACTGGGGAATTTGACCTGGGGTAGGAACAACTTGTGAAGGAACTTCAACTTGTAAACCAGGCCAGAGTTTGAACTTTATCTGGTTGATAAAAGAGAACCTAATATTAAATTTAGGCAAGGGAATAGTCTAAGTAGATTTGTGTTTCAGAAAAATCACAGGAAACTACATGGAGGATGAGTGGCAGGAGGTGAGACTGGAAGCAGTAAGATCAGATTGGAAGTTGCTGGGAGACCATGAGAGAGATGGGTTGGTGCCCTAGACCAAGTGGGCTGCTGAGAAAGGAAGAGAGCCCCACAATTCACTCCCACAGGGCCAGTGGTGATGGTGGCACCTTGAACAGGATGGCAAAGCAGCACCTCTTCAAAGTGATATTCGAAAAAACATGTACAAATCTATTTGGTGGGCATAGAGAGAAACAAATGACCTGTTATTAAAAATTGCATTATGTTGCTTTATGTTAATTATGCATACTGAAGATGACATTTCAAATCATTTGCATTGTCTTTCATTTCACAATTTCTGTATCACTCCTAGGAGGGTAGCAAACTGAGATACCATGGGAAGAGTCCATCTACTCTGCTGGAGGCACCACATGGAGAGAGGGAGGGGTCCAGCCAAGCCCAGCCCAGTCTCCAGCTGTCCCCACCAGGGTGCCAGGCATGTGAATGATGACATCCCAGGATCCTCAGACCAGACCAACTGCCATCTAAATACTGCTGAGTAACCCCAGTCAAAGCCCCGTGAAGCCTAAGTGTCTCCAGACTAAGCCCTGCCTGAATTTATGACCCATAGATGGTGAGGTATAGTAAGATGTTTGTATGTTCAAGATAGTTTTGTTGTTTGCTGTTCAGCAATTTGGTAAACAAAACAGCCCCATTTGTTCAGAGTTAGTTAAGCAACATCGAAGTTGATAAGCCCCTGCTCCATCTGGAAGCCTTGTCATGTGATCCCCACTGTGAGTCTCTGGTGTCCATTACATACCAGCTGATTGTTCTAAGCAAACCTTGCTAACATCATTCTCCTTGCCAGGTGGATATGAGGAGGCTTGAGACAATGTGAGCCCCTGTGTCTTGACGGGAGCTCCTAAAGACCTAGTAAAAGATTTTTCATGGGTATCAGGTCTCTTTCTCTCCTTCACCAGATGTGAAAGACACACATCCCAACTGCCATTAGCAGCCACCATCCGATCGCAAGGGGAACTGGATTTGTGAAGAAGCCAATGCTATTGAGGGTAAAGGGAAGAGATGGAAAGAACCTAAGACCACAGTAACATCATCGAATCACTGAATCAATCAACCTGGAAGCCCACCCTACAGTTGTACAGGTGCTGGTTGAACTAATTCTTAAGTTTCCAATTTAAGCTAATTTGTGCAGGATTTTTTTGCTTGCTACTCAAGGCAACCTACTTAATTTAATGGTATGGTTTCTTTCTCTGAAATATGGATGTTTGATTGGTAAATTCAATTTCTTAATTTCCAGCCAATCCTGAACTCAACCTATGCTCACTTGCTGTAGTTAAAGCCCTAGAATAGAGAATGAGAGAGAAATATTTTTGAGCCAGCTATCATTTATACCATAAATTTGACTTAATGTACAAAATCCATGAAAGCAGTGCCTCTAAACAGAATGCTACCAATGAATATTAACAGCAGTAATTATAAGAAGGATAACAAATATCATGGAGGAGTTGCAATATGCCAAACATTATTTTAAATACCATATGGATTACCTCATTTAATTTCCAAAACACTTCCATGTGGTCAGAGATATTTTAATCTTCATTTTACAGAGTAGAAACTGAGACAGGGGAAAAACAGTTAAGTTAATTTTTTTCTAGGTCACACAGCAGCAAGTGGTGGAATTGGAATTTGAACTGAAAAAGTCTGACTCCCAAGCTCTGTCTCTTAACTATTCTAAACCAAGGAAGTAGTAACAAGGAAAGTAGTAGCACCAATAAAATAAGTAAATAAAAAGTTTTATAGATTTGTTTAGTAAGAAAGGATGATGCATGGGGGATGTGGATTTGGGAGTGAACGAATCAATTATGAGGTACAAGTGGACCCTCAATATTTTACACATGCCCATGAACACTATTTATTGATGTTTTATAAATACCTACGTAATTACATATTCACATATATATATACGTACAATGGATTTATTCATTAATTAATTAATTTATTTGACAGAGTCTCACCCTGTCATCCAGGCTGGAGTGAGTGTAGTGGTGCAATCTCAGCTCACTGCAACCTCTACCTCCCAGGTTCAAGTGATTCTCATGCCTCAGCCTCTGGAGTAGCTGGGATTACAGGTGCATGGCACCATGCCCCACTAGTTTTTAGTAGAGATGGGTTTCACCATGTTGGCCAGGCTGGTCTCATACTCCCGACCTCAAGTGATCCACCTACCTCGGCCTCCCAAAGTGCTGGGATTATAGGCATTAGCGACTGTGCTCAGCCCATTTACTGCTAATGCTTCTTTCCTATGTGACCTTTCAAACTTTAGTTTTGTTGATCATGGTAACATATTTCGGGAGAAAGCTGTGACCCTACACAACAGGTGTCAAAACCAAGCCCCATAGCAGTGGTTTTCCCTTGATCAGCCCTAGTTGCTCCCTCTGGCTGCCTCTGAACTCACCATGCTAACACTTTCAACTGTAGTCAGGTCACCGGGGCAAAATGCAGAGGGGCTGGCTATCCCAAAATGAGTTCTGCATCTGTTTGAGATAAGACCTTGGTTCCTCCAGTGTCACTGGATGTCTGCTTAGAGGAAAGGAGCTCCTGACAGGCTGATTTTACCACCAATTTTGCCAGAGCCTAAGCATTGCTGAGCCACACGTGTATCTGCTCTTCAGGCTCTTTCTTCACAAACAAACAAACAAGTCTTCACAAACAAACAAGCTGTCAAGTCAAATCCTTGGAGAAGTGAGTCTGTAATCAAATCAGAGCCCTCCAAGGGCTGCGCGGGAAACATTCCCTTTCTGGGATTCAGTCTGTTCTAAGGACTGGACAGTGGGAAACCTCTGAACAAAGACAATTCCTGCATCTTTGAGGCTCTTGAGCATCTCATTGATCTTAGGGAGTAGCCAGGCACGTGCCAGCCTCCTCAGAGGCAAATACTCCAGGGAACAACATACCTATTGACAACAGATGCCTGTGACTGGGAAGCGCCGTTCTCTTCCAAGAATTCGATTTCATTCAAGGTTACTGAAGAAAATTTGTTTTTTAAAACATGACGGATTTTTCCAGATGATATCCAAGTTTCCCAGCAACTTAAGAGACCTGCTACATTTTATACTTAGTGTATTTACTCCTTGCAAACAACAAATCATAGAGATTGCAACCCTCCCCATGATGAAATAAGTTTTCTCTGATGTCGTTATCGCCTTATTTCAAGCTGTTCCCACAAAACTCACCCTGATCTTCTTCTTTGTGCATTCTTTTTATTTATGCATTCAACACATGCATTTATTTCACATGAAAAAAAACTATCACATTCTAGGTATTGGGCAAGCTATTGAGGATACCAGGGTGTACAAGACAGATATACTTCCTGCCATCATGGGGCTTAGCAGGGAGGGCTAACCAGTTCTTAGAGGCTGGGGAGTATAATTTGCAATGGAAAATCACAGGGCAATATGGTGGGTATTCTCAGCAGGGGCTGGAGATGAGGTGGGACATCTAGACAGACTGCGGAGCAGGGAACATCTTCATCAGCAGGTGGAATATAACCCAAGACCTAAGGACGAGCAGTACTGGGCCAGGGGAAGAGGTAGGGCACAGTGTTCCAGGCTATGCAGATGTGGTCCACTGCATCTGCATAGATGGAGTAGATGTGATTCAATATCTACTCCAACCTCCATCTAGTGTGTTAGTCTGGAAAGCTAAAAGCCATGTTTTCCAGGTTTCTTTGTAGTATGCATTCTGAATGTGAAATTTTTCCATCAGTCAGTGCATTCCTACATGATTTCGAAGATGGGAGTGCTGCAGTGGCCTTGCCTCCCTGCTTCTGTGGCTTCTGCTGGTTGGTAAGCTCCTTGCGGATGGTCTGGCTGTCACAAGGCACCTCTTGATTTTGGTGGCTTCCTGGTCACTTCAGTTTCTCGGCTGTGGCTGTTTGCTGATTTTGGTGGGCTTTTGATCCTGCCAGAGAGCTGCTACAGAAGCAGCTTCCCAATTTGGCTGACAGCTCCCTGATGACAGAAGAGACAAAAGCCCCCGAGGTGGCCAGAGCTATCTGTAGCACTTGGGGTTGTTTTAGAGTCTCATTTTCCCCACTTGCCATTGCTTCTGGAACCATATAATATCCTGCAATAAATAAATCCTTTTCTACTTAATCTAACTAGAACGGCTTCTCATTCCTATAACTGCTCCCTAAACAACTTACAGACCATAGGAACCACATACATAAATGTCCACTAGGAAGAAAGCTGGTAGCATTCCAAGGATGCCCCATGTGTCTGGGGTAGAGCCATTTAAGGGAAAGAAGCACTGGAGCAGCAAGAAAGAGTTAAATCATGGAGTGTCTTCTGAAGCAGGCTGAAAATCTCTATTGAAAAGGCAACTGACTGTTTTCAAGCAGTTTGACCCCAGAACCAGAACTGTACTTTTCAAACGCACTGCCCACTAAGTGGAAAAGAGATGGAAGGCCAGGAGTGAACACAAGAACACCAGTTGGAATCTACTATGTTAGTCCTGGATTCAGAACATGCCTCATACATCAATATTCAATTCCATGTTGAAATACAGATAGTTAAAATTAAGCGATTCTTAAGTTTTTCATTTGTGTAAACATTAAATCTTTCTTACTTCCTCTTCTCACTTATTCCAAATAGTTTGTGACCACCATTCGTTCCTTGTTTTCTTTTTCTTTCTTTTTTTTTTTTTTTTGAGATGGAGTTTTGCTCCTGTCGCCCAGGCTGGAGTGTAATGGTGTGATCTCAGCTTAGTGCAACCTCCACCTACCGGGTTCAAGCGATTCTTCTGCCTCAGCCTCCCGAGTAGCTGGGATTACTGGTGCCCACCACCATGCCTGGCTAATTGTTGTTTTTTTTTTTTGTATTTTTAGTAGAGACAAGGTTTCGCCATGTTGGCCAGGCTGGTCTTGAATTCCTCAGGTGATCCACCCCGCCTTGGCCTCCCAAAGTGCTGGGATTTTAGGCATGGGCCACGGTGCCCAGCAGAGTGTGACCACCATTTTAACCATCAGTGTGCAATATTTCTTGGCAACCTTGTTTGGTCTTTCAACCCAAGGTCACAGCCACTGTAAGGAGGCCCTCTCCATGGCTTCCTTGTGTTCTCTCTCTTCCTTCCTTCCCCCTCTCTCTCCCTGTGTATCCTCTGTTACAGTAACTACTCTCTCCCCTGTTCCTTTCTCCCTAAAACGGTAATGTCCCTTAAGTTGTAATTAGCTCTGGGATCCTGTGCTATCTTTTTCTACCTTGTGATTTCCCTGTATCTCACCCAAATCTTTGTAAGTAGTCCTTTTACTAAGCCCTTCTCAAATTACCTAATTTGAATGTGCCATCTGTTTCCTGCTGGGACCTTGATGGATACATTGAGTCATTTGTCATGTAGAATTTTCTTACATTTTGGGTTTGGTTAATTGTCTCTTTGTCATATCATTTAACACATTTCTTTATCCTCTAGATTTCCTGCCAACTGGTAGTTAGACCTAAAGGGCTTGATGAGATTCGATTCAAGGTGTTTTTGACAGATGGTGTGGGAGCAACAATATTTCATAGGTGGCTTCTTTATACTTCTACAGTATGTCATTAGAACCCGCATAAAATCTGATTGTCCATTTTTTTTGTTGTTTTTTGTTTTTTTCTGGCAGAAAGCTTGTTGTCAGCTTTCTATTTTAATTTCAATAGTTTTGGGGGAACCAGTGTTTTTTTTTTACACGGATAAGTTCTTTAGTGGTAATTTCTGAGATTTTGATACGCTTTTCACCCAAGCAGTGTATACTGTACCCAATGCGTAGTCTTTTATCCCTCACGCACTTCCTCCCAAATCCCCAAAGTCCATTACATCATTCTTATGGCTCTGTGTCCTCATAGCTTGGCTCCCATTTATAAGTGAGAATATATATTTGGTTTTCCATTTCGGTTTTACTTCACATAGAATAATGATCTCCAACTTCATCCAGGTTGCTGCAAATGCCATTATTTTGTTCCTTTTTATGACTGCGTAATATTCCACAGTGTATATATACCACATTTTCTTTATCCACTCATTTTGGTCAATGGGCATTTAGGCTGGTTCCACATTCTTGCAATTGCAAATTATGCTGCTACAAACGTGTGTGCAAGTGTCTTTTTCATATAATGACCTCTTTTCCTCTGAGTAGTCAGTAGTGGGATTGCTGGATCAAATGGTAGTTCTACTTTTAGTTCTTTAAGGAATCTCCACACCGTTTTCCATAGTGGTTATGCTAGTTTACATTACCACTAGCAGTGTAAAAGCATTCCCTTTTCACCACATCCATGCCAACATCTACTATTTTTTTAATTTTTAAATTATGGCCATTCTTGGAGGAGTAAGGTGGTATCTCATTGTGGTTTTAATTTTCATTTCCCTGATAATTTAAGGATGCTGAACATTTTTTCACATTTATTGGCCCTTTGTATATTTTCTTTTGAAAATTGTCTATTCATGTCACTTGCCCACTTTTTGGTGGGGTTATTTGTTTTTTTCTTGCTGATTTGAGTTCCCTGTAGATTCTGGATATTAGTCCTTTGATGGTTGCATAGTTTGCAAATATTTTCTCCCATTCAGTGGGTTGTCTGTTTACTTTGCTGGTTATTTATTTTGCTGTGTAGCAGCTTTTTAGTTTAATTAGATCCCATCTATTTACGTTTGTTTTTGTTTCATTTGCTTTTGCATTCTTAGCCATGAACTCTTTGACAAACAAACATCTAGAAGAGTTTTACCAATGCTATCTTCCATAGTTTTTATAGTTTCAGGTCTTAGATTTTCTTCAATCCATCTTGAGTCAATTGTTGTAGAAGGTGAGATATGAAGATCCAGTTTCATTCTTCTGCATGTGGCTTGCCAATTATCCCAGAACCACTTGTTGAAAAGGTGCCCTTTCACCACTTTATGTTTTTGTTTGCTTTGTGAAAGATCAGTTGG